CTCTCTCCAATGCGTTAAGGCTGAGCCTAGCATGCAACCATAGGGAATGGGCTTCAACAGGCTCATATATGACGTTTGTATAGTGGTCCTACTACCAGGGGCCCCCTCTGATAGTCCAAGCTTCACTACTGTCTCCAACATATGGAGGGCATAGTTTGGTCCCCTGGAGTCTCTAAAGCTGCCAGTCTAGAGTTCCTGAGTTTGCACAAGCTTGCTTTCCTCTGTCTCTGTAGATTTCTCCATCATGATCTTGACCTCCCTTAATCATACATTCCCTCCTCCCTCTCTTTGACTGGATTTCCAGAGCTAGGCATGGTTCTTGGTTGTGGATCTCTGAGTCTGGTTCCATCAGTTGCTAGATGAGGGCTCTATAATGACAGTTGAGGTATTCACCAATCTAATTACAGGGGAAGACAAGTTCAGGCGCCCTCTCCACTAATGCTGGGAGTTCCAGCTGGGGTCATCCTTGCAGAGTCTTGGGAATTACCCTAGCACCAAGTTTCTCCCTAACACCAGAGTGGTAATATATCCCTTTCATTTCTCTTCAATTGTGTCCCTCACCCATCTCAAACATCTCCTCCCCCCCACACTTTCCAGTATATCCAATATATCTCCTCTAATTCCCCTTCCCAGGGCGATACATGTTTCACTCTTAGGGTCCTCCTTGTTACCTAGTTTCTCTGGAAATGTGGATTGTAGTCTGGTTATCTTCTTCATTAAATATAATATCCATTTATAAGTGACTACATGCTGTGTTTATCTTTCTGAGTCTGTGTTACCTCACTCAGGATTTTTTTTTCTAGTGCCATCTACTTGCCTGCAAATTTCATAGGGTCATCATTTTTTTTTTTACAGCTGCATAGTACTTCATTGTGTAGCTGTGCCGTGTTTTATTTATCCATTCTTTGGTTGAGAGGCATCTAAGTTGTTTCCAGGTTCTGGCTACTACAATGCTGCTATGAACCTTGTTGAGCAAGTGTCCTTGTGGTATGATTGAGTGTCCTTTGGGTAAATGCCAAAGGTATTTGGGTATTGCTGGGTCCTGAGGTAGATTGATTCCCAGTTTGCTTAGAAACCCCTATAATGATTTCGAAAGTCTCTGTAAAAGTTTGTACTCCCACCAGCAGTGAAGGAGTGTTCCCCTGACCCCATATCCTCTCCAACATAAGCTGTCCTCAGTATTTTTGATCTTAACCCTTCTGGCAGTTGTAAGATGGTATCTCAGAGTTTTTTTTGGTTTCAATTTCCCTGATGATTAAGCATGTTGAGCACTTCCTTAAATGTCTTTTGGCCATTTGAGATTCTTCTGGTGAGAATTCTATGTTTAGCTCTGTATCCCATTTTTCAATTGGGTTATTTTGCATTCTGGTGTCTATTTTCTTGAGTTCTTTATATATTTTGTAGATCAGCCCTCTGTCAGACGTGGGGTTGCTGAAGATCTTTTCTCATTCTATAGGCTGTCATTTTGTCTTATTGACAGTGTCCTTTGCCTTACAGAAGCCCTTTAGTTTCAGGGGAAAAAGAATTCCTATTTATTAATTGTTGTTTTCAGTGTCTGTGCAACTGGTGTTACATTTAGGAAGTGGTCTCATGTGCCAATGCATTCAAGGATACTTCCCACTTTCTCTATCAGGTTCAATGTAGCTGGGCTTATGTTGAGGTCCTTGATTCACTTGGATATGAGTTTTGTGCATGGTGACAGATATGGCTCTACTGGAAATCTTGCACATGCTCACATTCAGTTATGCCAGCACCATTTGTTAAAGATGTTTTCCTTTTTCCATTGTACGATTTTGGCTTCTTTGTCAAAAATGAGGTTTTCATAGGTGTATGGATTAATTTCAGGTTCTTAGATTCTATTCCATTGACACACATGTCTGTTTTTATGCCAATACCAAACTGTTTTTATTAGTATAACTCTATAGTAGAGTTTGAAGTTAGGGATGGCAATGTGTCCAGAAGTTGCTTTATTCTACAGGATTGTTTAGCTATCCTGGGTGTTTTGTTTTTCATATGAAGTTGAGTATTGTTCTTTTAAGGTCTGTGAGGACTTGTGTTGAGATTTTGATGGGGATTGCATTGAATCTGTAAATTGCTTTTGGTAGGATTGCCATTTTTATTATGTTTGGTTAGAGTTACCCCAAGATATTTTATATTTAAGGCTGTTTTAAAGGGTGATGTTTCTCTGATTTCTTTCTCAGTCCATTTATCATTTGCATATAGGAGGGCTACTGATTTTTTTTAGTTAATCTTATATCCTGTCACATTGCTGAAGGTGTTTATCAGCTGTAGGATTTCCTGGCAGAGTTTTTGAGGTCACTTCTATATACTATCATTTCATCTGCGAATAGTGATAGTTTGACTTCTTCCTTTCCAATTTGTATTCACTTGATCTCCTTTTGTGTCTTATCACTCTAGCTAGAACTGTGAGTACTATATTGAATACATATGGAGAGAGTGGACAGCCTTATCTTGTTCCTGATTTTAGTGGAACTGCTTTGAGTTTTGAGTTTCTCTCCATTTAATTTGATGTTGGATGTCGGCTTACTGTATATTAGTTTTATTATGTATAGATATGTTCCTTGTAAACCTGATCTCTCCAAGACCTTTACTATGAAAGGGTGTTGGATTTTATCAAAGGCTCTTTCAACATCTAATGAGATGATCCTGTGGGTTATTTTCTTTCAGTTTGTTTATATACTGGATTGCATTGACAGATTTCCATATGTTGAACGAACCCTGAATCTCTGGGATGAAACCTACTTGGTCATGGTGGATGATTCTTTTGATGTGTGCTTGGATTTGGTTTGCCAGTATTTTATTGGGTATTTTTTTCATCGATGTTCATGGGAGAGATTAGTCTGTAGTTCTCTTTCTTTGTTGCATCTTTGTGTGGTTTCGATATCAGGGTTACTGTGGCCTCATAAAAGGAGTTTGGTATTGTTCTTTCTGTTTCTATTATGTGAACAATTTGAGGAGTATTGGAGTTAGCGCTCCTTTGAAATTCTGATATAATTCTGTGCTGAAGCCATATGGTCTTGGCTTTTTTTGTTTTTTGTTTTTTGGTTGGGGGACTTTTAATGACTGCTTCTATTCCTTAGAGGTTATAGGTCTATTTAAATTGTTTATCTGACTTTGATTTAATTTAGGTATGTGGAACCTAGCCAGAAAACTGCCCATTTCTTCAGTGTGGAGATTCCTCAGGAAAATGGGAATCAGTCTACCACAAGACCCAGCAATCCCACTGTTAGGCATATACCCAAAAGATGCACATTCATACAACAAGGACATCTGTTCCACTGTGTTTATAGCAACACTATTTGTAATAGCCAGAACCTGGAAGCAAACTAGATGCCCCTCAACTGAATAGTGGATAAAGAAAATGTGGTACATTTACACAATGGAATACTATTCAGCAGAAAAAAAAAGCAATGGAATCCTGAAATTTGCAGGCAAATGGATGGCACTAGAAGAAACGATCCTGAATGAGGTAACCCAGCCACAAAAAGAGAAACATAGTATGTACTCACTCATATATGGATTTTAGACATGGATCAGGGGAGTGCCAGTCTACAATCCCACTGCCAGAGAGGCGGGGAAACAGGAAGGACCCTAAGAGAGATATACATGGCACCCCAGAGAATGTGGAATGAGGCAAGATCTCCTAGGCAGATTGGGAGCACAGGGTGGGGGAGGGGAAAAGGAGCCAGGAAAAAGAGAGGGAGACAAGAGGAAGGGAGAGGAGGACATGGGGGAGCAGGAAAGTTGAGTTGGGGGAAGAATAGAGGAGAGCTGATGAGAGACACCATAATAGAGGGAGCCATTCTAGGTTTGAGGGGAGATCTGGTACTGATGAGGACTCCAGAGATCTACAAGGATGACACCAACTGGCAAAACTAGCAGTAGTGGAGAGACTACTTTAAATGCCCCTCCCTAATAATGTCTTTGATGACTATCTTACATACCATCCTAGAACCTCCATCCAGTGACAGACAGAAGCAGAGGCAGACACTTACAGCTAAACACTGAACTCAACTCCTGGGACCCAGTGACATAGAGGGAGGAGTGATGAGCAAAAGGGGTCAAGACTGGACTGGTGAATCCCAGAGAGACAGCTGACCTGAACAAGGGGGAGATCTTGGACCACAGATTGATGGCTGAGAGGCCAGCATGGGACTGATCCAGACCCCCTGAATGTGGGTGTCAGTGAGGAGACTCAGGCAATCTGTGGGGTTTTTGGGTAATAGATCAATATTTATTCCTGGCACAAAAATGGACTTTGGGGACTTATTCCACAATGAGGGATGCTTTCTCAATTTGGACACTTTGGGGAGGGTCTGGGCCCTCCCCAGAATAAAATGACAGACTCTAGAGATTCCCCCAGTCTGTCCAGGACCTTCTGGTTTTGAGAGTCTCCACGAAGAAGTCGGGTGTTCTTCTGATAGGTTTGCCTTTATATGTTACTTGGCCTTTTTCTTTTGCAGTTCTTAATATTCTTTCTTTATTTTGTATATTTTGTGTTTTGCTTATCATGTGGTAAGAGGAATTTTTGAGGGGATCCAGTCTATTCGGTGTTCTGTAAGCTTCTTGTATCTTCACAGGCATTTCCTTCTTAGGTTGGGAAAGTTTTCTCCTATAATCTGGTTGAATATATTTTCTTTGCCTTTGAACTGGTATTCTTCTCCTTCTTTTATCACTGTTATCCTTTGGTTTGGTCTCTTCATGGTCCCAGATTTCCTAGATGCTTTGGGTTATGACTTTATTAAATTTAATGTTTTCTTTGGCTGATGAATCTATTTCCTCTATCGTATCTTCCATCTCTTGCATTCCGTTGGTTATGTTTGCATCTGTAGTTCCTGTTTGTTTACCAGGATTTTCCATTTCCAGAATTCCCTCAGTTTGTGTTTCCTTTATTGGCTCCATTTCAATTTTCAAGTCTTAGTGTTGTTTCATTGTGTTTTTTTTCTTGGTTTTCTTTGCTTCCTTTAAGGGATTTATTGGTTTCTTCCCATTTTTTATTTGTTTTCTCCTCATTTCTCCTTTAAGGGCCTCTATGGTCTTTATAAAGTTATTTTAAGGTCATTTTCTTCTGCTTCTTCTGCGTTGGGAAGTTCAGGTCTTCTTGCTGTAGTACCACTAGGTTCTGGTGACACCATATTGCTTTTGGGTTGTTGAATGTATTCTTGCATTGGTGTCTATCCATCTCTTCCTGCATTCCTGCAGTCGGTGCAGGCAGTGTCTTTGCTGATCCTCTCAAGCCCCTCTCTCCGCCTTCTCTCTCAGTCCTCTCTCTCAGCCCTCTCTGTGCAGCAGATGTCTGTGTCTCAGGGAACCAGCCACTAAGGTCTCAAAGGATGAGTGGGGTTGGGGGAAGAATGGGACTTGTAGGTTATGGGGTGCTGTGAGAGGCTGTGGGTGTAACCTGCCTTCAGGAACCTTTCCTGCTGACCAGCTAGGGCAGCTGACATGGGTGAGGGAAGGGCGTGGGATTTTGCCCCATGACCTAGGGCCTGGGGGCTCTTTGGTCCAGATGTGAAGCTGGCCACTCACCTCTTAGCCCCCTCTGTGCGGTAGTCTTACCCTTCTTTTGTGAAGACTATTTTTTTTAAGTACGGTGTAGCTGCGTTAAATGTTCCTGGAGTGTGCTCAGAACGAATGAGTTGCTTTTGGCAAGTTACTGTATCAAACGTCTCTCAAGGGAGAAGGCAGATGAGAAGCAACCTTCAGAAAGGCCGTGACGGGAAGTGAGGGTGGGCCTGAGTGCCAGAATACTTGCTTCTCCTTGGCTCTCAATTGGATCCCCAGAACAGAAATAAAACAAAAATACGTGAGGATCTTTGTTCTACAAGAAAGAGGAAGGGAGTTATGCGAATTCATAAAAGAGGCTCTGGCAGCTGGTTTTCGACAGAATGGGGGTCCTGAGAGCATCGAGACATAAGATCGAAAGGCCCACAAGACTAAGATAAGGGCAGATTCCTCCCTGTTTAAACAAAGCCGGAAGTTGCCCTGTAAGGTTTTGGGTTTTGTTGTTGTTTTGGTTTGATTTTGGTTTTGTTTTGTTTTGTTTGTTGTTGTTGTTTTTAGTTTAGTCTTGTTTTTAAATTTTGGTGCCTATAGCATTTGCACAACATCCACGGAGAGTGAATACTTGTTGGTCAATATTTGATTTACAAATGTGTCTTGAATTAAAGGCTTACAGTTGTCAACAAAGAAGTAGGACATCTTCAGAAATGTCAGCAGTGTTTCTTACGGGGTCGTTTTCCCCAGTTTTCATCAGCTCTGCTGTTTCTGAAGAATGTCAGGAGGCAAATTCGTACATATAAGCCTCTTCTTTCTGCCAGTCAAGGGACGCAAAGTACAAGCCACCGAGCTGTGGCTTCCTTCCTGTTCTGATGTGTTCCTCAGATGAACACTCTGCCTAGGTTAATGGCTTTCCTGAGGCAGGCCCTGTGGTTTGAAGCGGTCTCATTGAAAATATGGCAGAAGTTTAGTGCGCAGAGTGAGAGTTGGGGTAGGGAAGAAAAAAAGCATAAGCCAGGAGCCGAGTGTCGAGCAGGTGCAGTTGTACCAGGAACACACTCGAATGCTTTGTGTCTGCAGCTGTGGTTCCCCTGTGATCCTGAACCTTGGGGGTTGGTAATGTCAAGCCTTCACTCACCAGAGGCCAGATAAAAGCACCCGCCTTCTAAAGGGGCAAGGTTCAACAAAGCAACATTGAAGCACACAAAAAACAGGACTGAGGAAGCTCTTTTTTTGTTGTTGTTTTTTGTTGTTGTTGTTGTTGTTTTTTGTTTTTACAAGACAGGGTTTCTCTGTATTGTTTTGGAGGCTGTCGGTCCAGCCCGGCCTAGCGAGGAAGCTCCTTCTAAGGATTTGAAGTGACGATCATAGGCCAAGCTAGTCCTCGGGACTCCTGTCAGGAAAACAAAACCAAAAAACAAGAGAACACTTCAGTCTCTCAGCCTCTGTAAGTGTATAGATGACGGGTCTCACCCTTGGACCTCGTTGTCACAGACAAACAACGTTAATGCGCTAGACACACAGACAGACTGAGGGATAATTAGACTATCACGCACGACAATACAGTGTTGCCACGGAACGAACAAACACAGATGTGTAAATAAAAATTCCTGGCCAGTGAAATAAAGGGCTGCGAGCTAAAGGTGCATGACCTGGATCTGATCTAGGGCTCCATTTGATTGGAAGAATACAAACTTCTGAGGATTGTCTTCCCATTTCTTCATAGGTGCCATGGTACTGGCGTGCTTCCTAATCTCCTTCCCAGCACTATGAAGGAGGAAGGGAGGGAGGGAGGGAGGGAGGGAGGGAGGGAGGGAGGGAGGGAGGGAGGGAGGGAGGGAGGGAGGGAGGAAGGAAGAGAGAGAGAGAGAGAGAGAGAGCGCAATTAACGTAATTTTAAATATGCCAAGGGTCTAACACATAAGAAAGCACAATAAAGCAATCCTGAAAGCATCCCAGGAAGTACCTGAGACAGACGACGTAGCTGGCACTCGCCTAGCCACCTGGGCAGGTGAGCGCAGAGTACCCGCGCATGTGCACAACTGAACTTGCTGTCCCAGATAGTGCAGCCTGAGGCTCAGCTGCCTCGCTTGCGCCACTGTGATTTAAGGGAGGATCGCGGGCCACGCTTGTTTTAGCAAGGGTGGGTACTAGGCGCAGTGTAAGCAGGTGCACATAATGGAGAAAATGAGGTGTCTTAGCTGGGAAGGCTGAAAGTGGTCCGGTGTCTGACTGGGTGAGTTAAGGGGAACCCTAAGCAAGAGGGCTGTTCTCCTCTGATGCCACTGTGGGTTTCAGCTAATCTAGTTCAGGGGAGAAACGAGCAGACTAGGGACCCGTAGAGTGTAAACTGACGACAGTTTGCACCTGCTGATCCGAGCCTGGGAAAGGACGCATGCATGGTATTTTGTGGGTGGCAAAAGGACTAGTTGAGGTCTGGGCTTACGCAGACTTAGGCCGTATCTCACTGAATCCACTTAGTGTTTCTCTATGGGCACATATTTAGGGCTGATCACATGGGATTAGATAATTTACCAGGAGGCTCATCACTGCAGAAGAGTGCCCCCCCCCCAAGAATGGGAGCTGCTAAGCAGTAGGTCGTGTTAGGAGACTCTGCAGAGAACCACAATAGAGAGAAACTAGGCATGGGACACAGGCCACAGTTAGAATGCCAGATGTCATTGCCCTGCATGTGATTAATACCCGCCAAAGACGCTATACACGGACTGGGTTGGGAACAACCACATTAGACAGTAGACCTGAGAACAGCCAGGCATACTCCAGTGAGGAACCATGCCAAATGACGGCTAGCGGGCTGCGGAAGCTGCTTGTAAGACAAGCTTAGATTCTCGTCCTACAGCCACAGGGAGAATCCCACAAGCGAGCCAGGCTTCCGCTTCTAGGAGCATCACTTCCTCTGTCTCTTTCCACGTGCCAAAGCCATCTTCAAATAGTTCTGTGATTTTATAAAAATGTCCAAACAGCATGGTACCGGCAGACACACACAAAAAAATGGATATGTTGTTTAACTGGCATACACACCCAAAAAATGGATATGTTGTTTAATGGAATAGAATAAAGGGCTCCACACACCTACAGACACCCGATTCTAGGCCAAGATGCCAAAAACACACATTGGAAAAAAAAAAGACAGCATCTTTAACAAATGGAGCTGATAAAACTGGATGTTCACATGTAGGAAAAATTAAACCTGATCCTTCTCTTTCACCCTGTACCCAACCAATTCCAAATGGGTTAGAGATCTCAGTGTTATACCTGAAACCCTGACGATTCTAGTAGAACGAGTGTGGAGTGCAATTCAAAACACAGGCTCAGGTAATGGCTTTCTGAATAGGACTCTCATTGCCCATGAAACGGGCCCATCAGTCAACCATTGGGACCTCATGAAAATAAAAGTCTTATGTACTGCAAAGAGTATGGGCATCTCAATTTAGACTCAATAGGTTATTTAAAGAAAAAGAGAAGGAATGTTGGGACGAGGAGATGAAGGGTGGATCTGGAAGGAGACAAAGAGAGGACTAGATGATGAACATAATCAAACTGTGTTTTATGAAGTTCTCAGAGAATTACTAATAATACATATGAAAATGTGAGAAATAACTGTCACTCGTTACTTGCCTCCATTTCTTATTGGAGATTGAATCTAGGGCCTCACAAACGCTCGGCAAGTAACACTGCCATAACTCAAGACTCTCACCACAATTTATTTCATTGCAAAGGGAAGCGCATACTGATAGCTAGCTCTCAGAATTAAGGCTTCTGTCACAGGTACTGGACTTCAAAACACAGGGAATGCTTGTGCATACACATATGGTAACCAGAAAGCTTCTTGTTATCGTAAGTGAAGTCTGCCTCCACAGACAGTGCATAAAGAAGACGTGGTCTGGAGGGCAAGCGTCACGGCTGTGACTTCAGCCCCGCAGCTGTCATTGTGTTATTGAACATGTCAGTGCTGGCCGTGCATTGGTGGCACACACCTTTAATCCCAGCACTCGGGAGGCAGAGGCAGGCGGATCTCTGTGAGTTCGAGGCCAGCCTGGTCTACAGAGGGAGTTCCAGGACAGCCTCCAAAGCAATACGGAGAAACCTTGTCTCGAAAAACCAAAGGGGGCGTGGGGGGGGAGAGGCCAAACCAAGAGGAGCTCAAGGCCAGTCTAGGCTATAGAACTCCATCTCTCTCTCTCTCTCTCTCTCTCTCTCTCTCTCTCTCTCTCTCTCTCTCTCTCTCTCTCTCTCTCTCTCTCTCTCTCTCACACACACACACACACACACACACCACCATCACCACTCCAAGTAACCAAGTATCCAATATAAGACAGAAACTAGAAAATACAAGCTATTCCTGTCTTTTTCTTAATAATTCAAAACCTTTCTTCTGCACCGCCCTCAACCCTCCTCGCCCAAAATATCATCAGTGAGACCATCGGCTAGCACAATACTCTTATTCTTACGCATTTCACAGTGGTTTCCTTAACACAGAAAGCTGTCATCTCAACAAGCAGTACTAACAAGCAGGCCCACATTTTCAGCTACTTCATGCAATAAAACCTGATTTTCAACTGCAAATGCACACAGCAAGTGTCAGGTGCTGTGACTCTGGGAAACCCAACTCTTTGTGCTTTGTGGTTCTGGGTCCTCCTGGGCCTCAGAATCTTGCTGCATGCAGATACACGACGACCAGAGAGAAAACCACCGCCGTTTTCCTAGGCAGCCCAGTCTTTGTCTGTCTGTCTCATAAACCTTTCATAGCCAGGCAGAAACGAAAATGCCAAGGCCTTCAGCAACGACGACACAGCTCAGCAACAGAAAGCAGATCGTCTGTAATTAATCATTTGTAGGGAAAGTAAATGGCCTTATTCTGTTTTAGGAAAACAGAAGCAAACGAAAGACTCAGACTTCCCAAGTACCTGTTCGTTACTACCAGCAGTGCTTCCTAAATGTGACCACGACAGGTCGCCAGAGGGAAAACAGAGTTAGGTTGCACACCTTTCCTGGGAGCTGTATTCTTTTAGAGTCCGTGGCGCCCCTCAACAGGGATTTTAATTTGTGGGAGGAGCCTGGAGTTTGTCGTAGAGCACCCCAGGTTGGGAATGCAATCCAGAACCCTAGAAGCAATCAATCAGTGATTCAATCGATTAAAATGTAGCTGTTAGGGTATCTTTTTTGATCCAATCAGAACCGTCTCCTTTGAGCCTTCTGCATTCCTTGGATACCTGCCCCCCGGCCTCCCCGTGGGTGGTTTTTGTATGCTTAAGTGGTGTAGTGAACATTTTTCACAGTGCTCGGCTGGTTGCTGAACTTATTCACAGGGGTTCCTTCCCACAAGTGATTGAGAGTATTTATTAAGAATTCTTTCACCATGCGGACATCTGAGACTTCGATTGCCAGAGATTAAACACACCCTACCCCCACGACATAAGGCCATCTGCGTCAGATCTTAAAACAGCACTTCAAAGGCCTTTTGCGCATAAATAGCCCTTGCATGAGGGGTTTCATTCATCCGGCTGTAGCTCGGAGTTTGATTCCATCTCAGTGACGGAAGACCAAACAGTGAAAACGGCCGTCTAAACTGATTGGGGGGGAAAAGCCGATCCGAGGGAGTCAAAACTAGGATCTCAGCCCTGGGTGGGGGTGGGGGGTGGGGGTGGAGGGGGACCACGCCCTTGTCCTGCGGTTTCCCTGCGCGGGCGTTCTCGACCCATTCAAACGGTTGTCCGTGCTACCGTGGAACCCGAGCTTTAGAAGGAAAGAGAGGGGGGCTTAAGGGTTCCCTCTGAGCGCTCAGCAGCCAGCCCCAAGCATCAGAGCCAAAGAAAGCCGTAGCGAAGCGGGGACCGGGAGAAGAACGTTCCCCAGCTTTGCAGGGACGGCAAGGGCGCGGGGCGGCCGCCGCGCAGGCGCAGGAGCGGGGCGGGGCTCCGGAGGCGGGAGCAGCTATGAATGATTCAATAGACTGAAACAAGAGACGTGTTTTCGTCAGTTCCCACATGGTCTAGCGGTTAGGATTCCTGGTTTTCACCCAGGCGGCCCGGGTTCGACTCCCGGTGTGGGAACAGAAGACAATTTTTGTACAAAGCCTAGATTTTAAAAGATCTGCTTGCCTGGGACAATGGATCTAGAACGCCCGTTTGACAATATTGACAATACGGCTTGCAAACTTAATGGTCAAGCTGTTATGGTTCACTGATCCTGGTGTTCTTTTACGACCCGTTCTTATAACCCGTAAGCTGCTAAGCAGGTGCTGGAGTTGGATAGTTGGATATAGAGTCTGTAACAAAGTCCGCCCAGCTCCGGTTCTGTAGGTTCGGAAGGGGGAAGTCGCTGAGGCTTGGATGCCAAGGGAGCAGCCTCCCAAAGGATAAACAGTCTTAGCGGAGGAACCGTGCTCGACTCCAAAGGGCAACCTGAGAGGCCTCATTCGTTTCTTCCTCTTCGTCACATTCTGCCCGACGATGTATGGGAAACTGAGGCATGGAAGCAGCCTCTGGATAAGGACTGTACTTGTAGTTAGGCTCAAAGTTCCTACCGAGAAAAGTCAAGTTTTCAGGGAGGGGGGCCTTGAAACCTTCAAAGCTGGAAATAATTCCTGTGCGTGCACCCGAATGCTTGTCACCCGTAACACGTCTGCATGTACGGTGATGTCTAGTGCATACCTACAACAGATGGGTGTTAGCACCGATCCCCGTGCCACTCATAGCTAAGTTTGTCACCAACCCCATCATGCTCCAGTTGCTGGTGTCCTTAGCGTGATTTGAATAAAGTCGAGAAAAGAGGAATCTGGACCAAGGAGACTGCAGACTATTCATAAACCAACAGCATGATTGGCAGGCAGAGGTAAAAGTCTGTAGTTGGAGAAGTCACACTATGATGCAAAGGTGGAATTTCTACTTCTTAACTCGATACTAATTCCTACATCTTTCAACTTGCAGGAGTCCATATATGATGTGGTTCAAACATCATTCGATCTGCTTGCAAACTAGTGCTTCAGGAATCGTTCACCATGTGACGTAAGACAGCGTCTTTTTTTAAAAACGCATTTTGTTAAGTCTTGAAGCGTTTCATACAATGTTCTGACTGTATCCACTCCTATTCCTCACCCTAAACCCTTCCAGTATACACTTCACATCCTCACCACTTATAAATGCAAGGGCAAATTCTTAAGACGTAATTCTTAGACAAAAAAAAAAAAAAAAAAAACCAAACCAAAACAAAACAAAAAAAGACCTTGGTAATAGGCTGCCAGAGTTTCTTTCCATCTTAACTCCCCTTCAGAAGTCCTTGTTGGCGTCAGCCATTGTTATCCAAAGGTTTCACCCCAGGCTGTCTGCTGTGGCAGACACACAGAGACAGTAAGACAGCTCCTGTTGTTTCAGATAATCCCAGCACTCAAACCTGGGCAGTCCAGTTGTATAGAAGCATAAATGTGGATAAGACCGGGCATGAATAGCTATTGTCCAAAGGGTGAGCTTTTCTTGTGGCCATTTTCCTGCTTGCCTGTATTTTCTTTCATACCATGGATATTTCTACCTGACTTGTGTGCACTGAATCAAACTATATTTCTCAGATTTCCTTTCCTGCAGAATTTGATTCATCTATTGGAAGACCAGAGCATGCCACGTTGAAAGAAAAGCCTAAGGTTTCGGGTAACGCCTCGGTAGCAGTGACCATCCCCCTGACATCTGCCAACAAGTGCAGGCTCCAGGGAGGGGCACTGGTGAATCTGCCAGGTGCTTCTGACAGCTGTGAGCTACTAGCAGTGACAGCGGTGGCAGATCAGGCTCAGACAACCCTGGCAGTTTCAGGAGATCCTATGTGTGTTGGCAGAAGCGTGGTTCCCATGGTGATTGTGATACACAGCAAGGCCCATGAAGACGAGGGGTCTATTTCAGCAGAATGTCAGTCCCTGTCGGTTCTTTCAGCCCAGAGTGGTGGAATAATATGCAGTTATTAGCATCTGAGTAACCTTCTGGTCATCCCTTCTTGCCTCCCCCCCAAAAAAAAAAATCTGGAACTATGTTACTTTTCCTTCCTGAAACATCTGTTTCCTTGGCTCTGGCTCATGTGATACAAATACTGTTACTATGATCCTCGTCGTCCATCAAGCTCTCAGCCTTGCTGACTTTAGCTTGGGAGATCAGGGAGCACCGTGATCCACACGGCATGTTTCAGGAAATATATTTCATAGGCAACTGATTGACGAGCTAGCAAGGCTGGAAGGTGAGTATCAGTCCAGTTGTTCTCAAGATTCATTGGCCACTTGGAAATTCTGAGTTTCGTGGGTTTCAGCTAGGTCAACTGTACCGTTCTCATCCTGTTTCTTTATGACGTGCTCTTTCTCACTCTGCACCCAAACTTTCACCTGGACAGGCTGTGACTCCACCTGCGGTTAAAGAGTCAAATCACAGACTTGGTGTTCGGCTCTATCTCTTCTTTTTTGCAGCTATAAGGGATCATGGATTGATGAAAGGCCATGATACAAGACACTTGAGCTGAAAGCTGAAAGCCTTTTCTTTGAAGAATCTCTCCAGTGCAGTCAGAAGGAGGCAGTCCACCACCACAATAACTTCTTCCAATAACCTTGTGGTAAGCCTCTCCTTTAATCCCAAGCCAGCGATAGCTTCGATAAATATTTTGCTATTATGCCTGTGACCTCCCAATATCCTAATGTCTACAAGTGACAAGATCACTACTGTGTTTATAGCCAAGAAAAGGTACCAAAGTAAAACTCTCTTCTTTGGGGTCTGATTCCCTGGACACTGTTGCTTATGAAGCACGATCAGTTGTTATCTGCCCATAAAAGCACAATGCACTGGATGGTTTTTATTTATTCCATTTCTGTGTGCTGCGGATCCAACGGAGGGTCCTGTGAACACTGGACAAATGCTTTACCACTGAGCTAGGGGCCCCTTAGGAAGAAAGAAAGAAAGAGAGAAAGAAAGAAAGAAAGAAAGAAAGAAAGAAAGAAAGAAAGAAAGAAAAGAAGAAAGATGCATTACCAAAACTTAGGAGAACCTGCTGACGACATTGCTGGATTCTGCAGTAAGTTTGGGGCCCTTTGAGACCTCTTAAGCTGCAAATGCTAGTAGTGGCAGTCAGTCAACCTCTTAGAGTGGTTACTTGGGATACATATCCCTACTTAATTTTTATTATTTTTCTAAGTATTTATTTTATACGTATGTATTTGTGTGTGTGTATGTATGTATGTATGCATGTATGTATGTATGTGTGCCTAAGTGTATGTCTGCTCACCATATGTACACAGTGCCCATGAACACCAGAAGAAGAAGCCATCAGTTAGTTTCAGGCCTGGGTGCTGGAAACTGGGCCAGAGTCCCTGGAAGGAAGGGCAGCAGATGCCCTTCACCTCTGAGCCATCTCAGCAGTCCCTGAGACACACTGCTTCAGTCCCAAGCTCCTGGACGGCACCTCGCTCCTTTTTTAAACTTCTGGTCGGAAGGCCGAAGAGATTGGATTGGAACCTGGGAATTTTGCAGGCCTTGAAAAGAGGAAAAAAAAAACCGCCCCTTCCTTCCACTTTCTGACCTATCAGAACCTCAAACCGAGAGAAGCCAATCAGAAACCAGTCGGCCAGATGAGACTGTGGTGTTTGTTAGACTTGAGCACTCTGACACTGCCCAACACAAGCTGATGCAGCCCTATACCAGCCGTATTTCTTTAGGGTGGGTCAAGTTCGGAGTTGTCTGCCTTATCATACAAAGTGACGTGCATTCAGCAAAACACGTCCAATTTTGGATTTTGCTCGGTTAGTGATATGTGCGCAATCTGCTCTGAATCGAGGCAACAGCAGAGAACTACGGTTCTGGGTTGGCCAGGCCACGCAAGCGCACAAACAACTGTTTCCTGGAGTGTGCGGTGTTGCTGCACTTTAATGAGGAGGTGAGATTTTTTTTTTCAAAGCCCTGGTGACTTGAGCCTTTCCTAATCTAGCAGCTTTGCCGGGACGTGATTACGTCATCAGCCAGGAGCACACACGTGCAGTATTTGTTGAATATGAA